AATTGGTATACAGGGGGAGAAAAAAAAAAAAAGAAAAAAAAAAAAAAACAAACCCCCCAGAAGCCCCAAACACAAGCCAGCCACCCAACAAACAAAACCACAAAATGATTTCTGAAAAATTCAGAAGTCTGTGATCAGGATAGTAACTCTGGGATAGAGTCCTGTAGCTGTCTTTTGGTAAAGGCCATCTTTTGCCCTGGGAGCCAGTAGCAGGAGGCGGCTGGAGGTTGAGATTGAGGACTAATGTGTTTGAATTAAGATCTATATTTCTTTACCATGCAAATTGTGATGCTCCATTCTCATATTTGCAGAATATAGAAGCAATTCTGTGTCTCAAAATTGTTAGTTTTGATTTGAGCTGCCTATTAAAGGGGTCTGTTTTTTCTTAGATTCTTTTTTTAAAAGAATTCACCTTCACAGTACCAGAATAAAATTCTGAACTTCCAGGTGTTTTATTAGTGGCTGGTAAAGGCTTTAGGAAACAGAAAAGCTGTTTATTTGAGAAGTGTTTTTCAAGTGCATTTTCTTCTGGATGTCCGGTTCTTTTTCATGTTTTGCCTAACATGCTTCCCTGTGGTGACAGCAGTTTTCTCTGAAAGGATCAAATAGTCATTCCCAGAAAAGAAAGAAACATTAACCTTCAAATGATCACTTGTTGTAATTTTGTATCAAGTAAATATTTATTGTTGTCAAGTAAATATTTATTCTATGCAGGAAAAAAAGTACTTTCACACATCTTACTGTCTTTCAGGTTTGATTTCAAGTGCTCTTTGTTACTTGAACACACAGCTTTTTTAGGATTTGGAGAAGTAGTTTTGTCATCCAAAGGAATTACTTTCAAATTGCAACTGTTATATTTAAGATTTACATACAGATTTTTCAAATTTCTAACAAATAGTAAGTTTATAACAGTTGATTCTTTTGATAGTCTTTTAAAAAAAAATTAAGATTATGAAATGAGGCTGTTCTGGTTTTTGAATGAGCTATATATAGATACAGACACAGACACATATATGTGTATGCATGTGTATATAAACACTGGCTTTGTCAGCTAAACAAATTACTTCATATAATTGATTTTTTAAAGATATCTGAACTTTTAGAGCCTAAATATGAAAGGGAGGTCTGTGCAAATGTGTATCAAAGTTAGGGAAACTTGTTGGGACTTTTGTATTGTACAAGCTGGACTTTTAAGCAGATGAACTAAAGGCAAGGCAATCTATCATTGGAGAAAACACAAAACAAAGGACAGTAGACAGAAAAATGGCAATGATAATTACTGTTCTTTATAATGAGCAATATATATTTAATGTTAAAAGGCTTCTGTCTCATTAAGTACACACCTGCATTAATAGGGACAGTCAAATCTTAAGTAATGCTTCATAGCAAAATAAAAGAGAATATATTTTGAAAATTTAGGTTACTGAGAATCGTTACGTTTTCATGGACAAAAATGAGTGCACTTTTTGGGAGCTCTCCCTGGTTTCTGGATTAACATGCTAATCTGCCTATGGTGTCAGACCAAGCATGATGTTTGCTTTGATTTCTGTTGTGAATAAATCGGAGGTTTAAGGTTAGTTGATAATATTTTGCTGATGAAAATGTCTTTGAAAGGCTAATGGTTTCAGAGGCAATTAAAAAAAAAAAGGCAGAAAAAAAAGTGGCTTTTCTGCTGAATCAAGGTGAGGGAATGGAATCTTACTGTGTTAGAGCTCTCACCTTCTTGCAGTTTCTTCATCCCATTTTCTTCCCTGTCCCCTACTTGCATAAACAGTAAATTCCCTTAGTTCCATCAGTCTTTATTCTCCTTTTGTATTTCTGACCTTTGGTGGTTTTTTTTCTGCTCCATGTTCTTTGGGGTGCCAATAACTGACAAAGGTACAGTCAAGATTACACTTCTGTGCCCTTCTCTGAAAGCCATGCCAGGGTTTGAGGAATGAGGAGGAACTGGGACTTGCCATCCTTGGGATACCTTGAGGTGTCCTAGGTGGGCTGAGTGCCAGAGCTAGTGCTCCTTGTACGAGTATTGGGTTCTTGAGCATGCTGACACGTTGCTGTGCAGGGAGCTGGAGGAGACATCTCCCAGTCCTTTCATCACTGTGCCTATTTCAGAGGCAGTAGGATCAAGACAAAAGACAAGGTTATGAGAAGATGTATGTTTTCTGATGGTCACTTGTTAGCTTAATTGGTCACTTCAATGTTCAGCATTGCCCTGAAATTCCCCTCAGCTGTGAAGGGGCAACTGCAGAGCACCCATGTGTAAGCATCAGGGAGTGTGTTCCCTTTTAAAGGTTGCTTTGGTATATTCCTGCTTATCTGTCTTACCTTTCAAAATACAAAATTAAGCTATTGAAACCTTCCCCTTGTTTTTTGCTCTTGGAGATTTTATTTCTTTAAAGCAGACATTGTTATTTGCCTGTTGTGTTTCAGGTGCAGTTTCTTAACAAGAAACTGATACAGGCAGGAGTGATGAAGCAGGAGCAAATTCTGAGTCCCTCTCTTATTTTATCCGCGAATCCTCCTGTTGGTTTAGTGTTCACTATTATCATGGGTTTTTTTGCAGCAGCAGATAATGGAGGGACTACATCTGGTGGCACATCAGGAATTCCTCACAGCAATCACGCTGGGAATTCTAAGTCAGCAGCAAGGAACCTGAGCTCCTCAGCTGGAGAGAAGGAGGAAGGAAAGAAGGTCAGACGGCAGTGGGAGTCATGGAGCACAGAGGACAAAAACACTTTCTTCGAGGGACTGTATGAGGTATCTGTGGAGGAAAACAACAGGCTCAGACGGCTTCGTTTACTGTCCAGATATTCCTGAGGAAGGCTGATTCAGCTGAGGTCTGCAGGAGCGAAATGCATACGTACACATGCACCTTTCTCTATGCCTATGTGTGCATAGCTGGCTATAAACCAGTTGTCAATCACAGCCACATTTCAAAAGTGTCAAGCTTTCTTTTGTTTTGAAATACAAAGAAAACATTTGTGAATTTCATTCATCAGTGTTTGAAATAATTTCAGTTACAATTCTGTTTCAGATGGGAATAAATCATATCCCTATCTCAGCTTTCAAAAGCAACACACTTATGCTGTAATATTACCAAGCAGGGAAACATCTAGTCTAACAAGAATTGTAGGCACTGTGTTTAGTCTTTGACTAGGAAAAGATCTGAGCCAGTTCAGTACCAGGGCTAAGAAACAAAAAGTCAGATGCTCTGTTCTTGTATCTCGTATGATGTATTCCGGGTTGTCCTGTTGCGGTGATTGTGTTAAGAGCATTCCTG